TTACTCCTACTGGTCGTATAACTGTTTCTGTAGACGCCATGGTTCTTAATTTGCGCCTGAGCTTTGCAATCCTCTTTTTCCGCTCAGCGACGGCAATCGGGGTTCTCGGATCAAACACCCAACATCACCCACGGCAGGAATGCAACCGCTCTCAGGTGAACGGAAGGCTTGGTTCCACACATTTCTCTCTAATGCGCGACCATTCTTGGGCGCTATCGTAAGATACAGGGGCATCTTCCAGGGCCAAGCCCAAAAAGCGGCAGGAATTTCAAGGGGAAAGAAAATTGCTCACGATCAGTGGAAGTCGTTCTTTTCCCGCCTTAGGCTTATTCTCGTTTCCAACTTTCTAACTCTTTCAGGCCGTTTCCAAGTGTATTACTACCACATGCTCCCCTACCTTACTACAGCGCTCATTTCTGATATCATACCTACCCCCTTGAGGAGCAACAAAATCAGCAAATCGGACAAACCCTGAGGAGCGTGAGCGTCGCTCGCTTCAGCGATTCCCGATCGCTGGCGACGATTGCTCACGGCGGCCCAACGCGATACGATCGCGATTCTCAAACCTTCTCACCGTCGCTGCAGCACTTTTCTCGCTATGTCAGTTCATAAATCGGACGTAAATCGCTTTTATGACGACTCACTATGGCGCGGAAATCGTAAAACGTTGCGATATCAGCGTCGTACGCAACAACGTCGAACTCTTCAGTGTCGCAAGCGTCGTGAATAGTTTTTATGAGCGCAATTAACGCCACTGAGGTTAGACTTATGGACTACGTACGTCGGAAGCTAACTCGAAATATCCACCAGTTGCTGGCTCAGGTCGTGTGGAAGAATCGCAACCCAATCGCAATCGTAACGTGCTCAAATTACCCTCTTTATGGAACCATAAATATTAAATATATGACAGGAGCATGTTGATGTTTCCCTTGACATTTTTATCTATCTTCGATGAGATAAGAACTTGGGTAGGTAACAGGAAAGGGAGCTATCAACCCAAGGCCGTGAAGCCCTACAGCACTCCGACAAAAATCAAGGGAAATAAATCTCTTTTCCAGCGTTCCCAGTTCCTCTACAGGCTATCCTTCACTCGTTGACAGCATCTCAGCGCACATGTCAGGTGCCTTAAGGATTCAGACGACCGCCGATGACAACGATTTCAATCATGCCATCAAACGCTCACCCCTTGCGCTATCATTCACCCCACCCTGAATTGTGT